AAGGAAAGGTAAGCCTGTGTGTTTAAGCATCTCATAACTGATGCCTGATGGGCCACAAGCTTTGTTATTTGGTAATTATGCAAGGGTAGATGATACCTCCTTGATTAAGAACTCAAGAAGTACACTTTGATACCAATCTAAGTTAATATGATCTAAAGATTGGTATTCATTTTGCTAAGTTTGATTGTAAATAGTTTGATCAATAGTCCAAAGGCCAGTCCATTGATCAAAATGTTTTTGAATATGTGATTTAATATTATGTGTATTAGTGATAATATTGTTATCTAGTTTGATATTATCAAACTTAACAGGATCTTTATATCGGTTGAGTATACTATTAATCATAGATTTTGGGTTGGTGTGGAGCTTATCACATTTTTTTGAGATGTTATTATTAATTTGCTACCTTATTTCTTTAATGTTTTTCAAATTACATGCATGATAGAGAGCTTTTCATGTTTCTTGCTGTAGTTAATTCAGCTAGGCAGTTGATTATAACTAATTGATATAGAAGATATATCAAGGTTGTGAGTTAGATTAATAGTATTAATTGTACTATTATGATAGTTAGATATAGGTAATTAGGTTTGATTTCTGATAATTGCTTTAATTTGATGGATAATATTACTTAATTTTTTAAGATGAAAGTGTAATTGAGATGCTTTAGGTGAGTATATATGCTGAAAGTTGCGTACAGTAAATCTTTTATTAAGTATATGTTGTAATGCTGCTAAGGTTATACTTGTTTGGATTTTGTGCTATATGCATTTAAGTGATTCATTGATGTTTGTAGTTAGTGGTATATTGTTTAATTAGAGATTTGAAATAATTTGATCAGTATATAGTTGTCATTGTTCTGTATTCATATTTTTGTATAGAAATACTCTTCTGCATATTCTAGTAGAGATATGACGTTTGCCTAAAAATGTATATAGAAAAACCTATAATGAGATTAGGATTTGGTGATTACTCTTAGTACTAGAATTAGAATCATCATTATAGTAAGAATTAAGATAATGAAGTATTGAGTGGTTGGCCCATATGTAGTCAATATAGCTGGAGTATCTACTACTGTTACAAATATCTGTAGATGATTGGGTATGTATTATCAAATCATATATGTTGTTATATTGGAGGAATTGAAGTAGCTTATATTTAATAGATGTAGATCGTATATTATTACTAGAGGCATTAAAATTTTCTATAATAATAAATTGCAAATTATTAGATGTTGCTTCTTGTAACCATTGAATAATTGCATTTTGAACTTTAAAGCGAAGTTGTAAACTGTACAAAGTAGGTAAACTAATATGATTCTGAATATGAATTTTATATTCTAGTATGAAGATAATGATAGTATTGATAATATATATAATCTGTTTATTAGTAATTTTCTTTGTGCTAGCACTATATATATATATATTTTTTTTTATATATTGGCAGCTTCGCGGTATCTTTATTAGATCAAATCATATATATAAACATATATTCAACTATTTAAGCTACAGATCCGATATTCTTCAGCTACTTTATTAAGCGTCTAGGGACGGTCTGCCTCACTGAATAAGGCATATGCCCACATTGAAGGGCTGCACCAAGACAGCCTGTAAAGCTATACCAGCATTAGCAAAATTTATATATAGATATATATCGATTACTAACCCCATGGATATATATCGATTATAATCTCTCCTGCCGATTTTCATCGATGATGATATATATCGATATATAGCCGGTTTATATACCTATCGATTTTTATCGATTCCGATTAAAATTGATATTTATCGGATATAATATAAACATATAAAATACTATATACAATATATACCGATACTATATATATACTAAAAATAACATTTTTTATTAAAGATTTTATTTTAAAAAACATTTACATATATTCTATATTTCATGTCTCTTATAACCAATATAATTATTACAAATGACTCTTTTTGTAAAATCTATATAGCTAAAATTCTATTTAATACTAGCTTTTTGCATCGCCAGCACCATTTTTAATAAGCACAAACCTACAAGAAAGAAATGTTAGAAAAACGAAACAATAATAAGAAAAAAAAACTCAACAAAAAAATAAAACTGGTACTTAGCTTTTGTACCAGTCCCGGGTCTAGATCTCCATTTGCTCACGACACATTTTCAAGATCCACAAATCTACAAGAAAGAAAACTGTTAAAAGAATGAAACTGCAAGAAGTAACAAGAAAAAAAAAAACTATAATACTGGTACTTAACTTTTGTACCAGTTCCGGGTCCGGATCTCCATTCCCGATGCATTTTCAAGATCCACAAACCTACAAGAAAGAAAAGATTAGAAGAATGAAAACTGCAAGAAGTAACAAGAAAAAAAAAATAATACTGGTACTTAGCTTTTGTATCAGTACCGGGTCTAGATCTCCATTTCTGACGCATGTTCAAGATCCACAAACCTACAAGAAAGAAGAAGTTAGAAGAACGAAAAACTGCAAGAAGTAACAAGAAAAAAAAAAAAATACTGGTACTTAGCTTTTGTACCAGTCTTAGGTCTAGATCTCCATTCGCTCACGATGCATTTTCAAGATCCACAAACCTACAAGAAAGAAAAGGTTAGAAGAACGAAAACTGCAAGAAGTAACAAGAAAAAAAAAAAATACTAGTACTTAGCTTTTGTACCAGTTCTGAGTCCAGATCTCCATTCACGACATGTTTCAAGATTCACAAACCTACAAGAAAGAAAAGGTTAGAAGAACGAAAAGCTGCAAGAAGTAACAAGAAAAAAAAAAAATACTAGTACTTAGCTTTTGTACCAGTCCCGGGTCTAGATCTCCATTTCCGACGCATGTTCAAGATCCACAAACCTACAAGAAAGAAGAAGTTAGAAGAACGAAAAACTACAAGAAAAAAAAAAAAATAAAAAAAATACTTAACCTTTGTACCAGTCCCGGGGCG